CCCCGCCTCTCCGCTCCGCGGCGCTGTGGGCAGGGCCACGGTCACCGGGCGGCGGGAAGAGGCCCGGGCGTTTCGGGGTGTGGCCACCGCTACCCTGAGGCTGGGCTGCCTGCCGGGCCCTGGGCTCGACCGCCGCCAAGGGCCTGAACAGGTGCGTTCGCCGCCCACCCGCTATGCCCGTGGGTGGCTGGCAGAGGCCCCGCTTCTCTGCCGCTGGCTGAGGTCGGGGCGGGCCCGGGGGCGTGGGGGAATGGACTTCCTAAGTCGTTCATTTGCAGGAGTTATTGACAGACGGGACTGAAAAGCCACTGGAAGATAGGTTTCTGTGCGAGGGAGACTCCGGGCCCAGAAATAGGGAAGCCCTGGGACAGAGGATGCCGCCTGCGTGAGCAGGCAGTTACCCGCCTGTTGACCAGGGTTCGGGTGGCCTTACATCTCGCTTTTCTAAGGGCCCTGGGACTTTCCTCTCCCAGCATTTGGAACAGATTCTTGGTTGCCCTGACCCTGGGTGCTTTAGCTGGGCTTCCTTGAGGCTCTTTTGGCTGTTTACCTTTAGGCCCTACTCACACTCTACTCATCATGTACTCAGTATACAATAGTCTCTTGAATAATTGAGTGGGTGCCTGTGAGGTAGAGTAAGTGAATGAGTATATGAGAAGTAGAACTGAATGAAGGAATATGCAGACAGATATAAACTTATAACAAATGGAAACACGTGCCTACTATGCTTGTCTTCTGGGAGTTTCCCCAAAAGTGGTGTGACTGTTCCACTGTTGTAAATGGAATCAGACTTGTGTCTGCTAAAAAGATGTTCTATGCTGTTTTTAAAGGTAATAATCACCAGAATCACTGCACTCCCTTACATTTCCATTTTAGGTAGATTTGGGTATATGTGTTACTTAGAACAAAATATTGCTAGATTTTTTTCTGGCTGGTATTTTATTTTCTACTTTGGACTTTAGAGAATCACTGTCGTTATACTATTATTCAATGTATTTCTGAAAGATAAGGGAGAACCGAAAGGAAAAACTACATGATTCTGCTTTTAGTAACTTGCTTGTAAAATCAGGCTTGTTTCAGTTCAGGATTGTGAAGAATCTCTTCTGTTTATCTGAGGTAGGTGTTAGCTGATTTGTGGGTGACTGAAGAAGAATATAGTCAGGAGAGAAAAAGAGACTAGGTGTATGCAGGCCCTGTGGAAGTTACAGGAGTTGAAACTGCTTTAATAGGTTGGTCGCTGCATTAGCTATACATTTTCAGATCTCAGTTCAGGAAAATCTGGATGAGTTTGTACTTGTCACTTGATTTCTTTAGGTCTCAATTTCTTAATCTCCAGGACGAAGGAGGTGAAGTGCTCCCCCTTCCTAACTTACAGTGTTTTCTTTTATCAGTAGTGAAAGATCAAATCGCAAGTGATTTTATGGTGTTCTGCTTATGTGGGCTGCTGTCCTTGGGATTCTGTAGAACTTGCCCCTACTTTGCAAATTGAAGCTCATTCCTTTTTCTCTCCATAACTGCTACAAAAGAACCTGGGAGCTCCAAAGTTGAATAATAGACTATGGACTTGGTGGGGACAAAGGAGAAATTATTCTGCATTGCCACAGGCTCCCAGTCCTGAGTCTAACTTGTTTCCAATGCAACCCAGCTTGACAATGCCATATATTTCCAGTATATCCAGGGAATCGTATCACTATTAATTTGCATGAACTTGAGATTAGTTATCATAGATCACATTATATCGGAGCTAGAAGGTCTTTGGAGATTTTAAAAAGGCACTTAAAAAGTCATTTTATGTACATATTAAAATATTTTTTGCATGCTACATTTAACAAAAACAAAGACCCAAATGTGTTAAGTGAAATAAAATTAATGTTGCCTACTTCAGTTATCATGGGATAAGTGGAGTCAAAGGTGGTACTTGGTGGGAAAAAAATGGCTTTTCTTGAACTCTTCCAAGGAGCCAGTTATGTATTGTTCACCTTTGAAGAACAAACCACTCCTTCACCTTTTTAGAGGTGTCACCCCCATCTTCACGGTGAAGAGTACTCAGGTACCAGAATGATTTCCAATGTCATGAATCTGACATCCTCACTAGGAGGTTGGTGGGAATGAGGTCAAGGTAAGCCACCCTACTTGGCTTATAACTGAACATATGCATGTTCTTGCTTTATTACTTTTCTGGCTTCAACTTTCATCCTGGTAGCTTAGTTTAGATGGCACTATTAGTAGAACATGCCCATCAAGTAGGACATATAAGCCACTTAAGCCTTTCCCTTTTTCTCTGTTTCTGTATAAATGAACTTTTTTTTTTTTTTTAATTTCTCTCTCCATGTCTGCTTTTGGGTCTTGTGCAGAGTTATTAAGCACAGGTAAGGACTCATACCCAGGTTACCCTGCTTTTCAGGTCCCTTGGCCTTGTCCTGTAACATTCAGACACAAAATATAACAAAGCTATTATATATGGGGCACTGGCCTTGTAACAAACACTGTAATATTTACTTATTGACCCATGTTACCTTCACTGTAAGTCTAAGAGTTATTGTAATACCTATTCAGTCTTCGTAATTATAAGAAACGCTTAGAGGGCCCTTCCTGGTGGCGCAGCGGGTTAAAGCACAGCACAAAGAAGGTTAAGCCACTTTCGCATGAGTTTGATCCCCACCTGCCCCGGAGGTGATCCACATGGCATGGCAGACCTCTCCTGGACTGCCCACTGCTCCCCTCAGCAGTGTACTTTGTTGATCTGCCTGTTCTGCTCCCTGCTCTGTCTCTGGTGAATCCTCTCACCCTCCACATCTCTGGCCTGTACCCCAATTCTGTACGAATAAATAAAATAAATCTTAAAAAGAAAAGAAAAGAAACGCTTAGAATATGGAAGTCAGGTACTGATAGCACAGACAGATGAAGTGAGGTTTTCAGAAAGACAGACAATCATCACTAGGAAAGTCTGTTATGTTCAAGTGTGGTATCTGTGTGTGTTCATAGATATGTATTCACATATATAAACTTAGGGTACTGGGGATAAATGTATCTAGAGATGGGATGGTTAAGACTACTGAGAATTGGTGGTCACTTAATTTTGAAAAGTTTTGAATTCTGTTGGGACTTGGATACTTTGACCTACATGCACATGCCTCCTAGTTTTACTCATGTTCAGATTTACCTATTCAGGGAATATAAAATGGGTAGCATTAAGAGCTGTCATCTATGAGTGGCCCTTAGGCCTTTGAAATGAATTCCAAGCAATGTTGTTTCTTGAGCTAACCTCAGGTCCTTGGTTACCTCCTTCTTTACCTGACTGACAAGTCCTAAAGTAGACAAAGTCCACTGCCTACTCCCCTGTAATCCAGGAGAAGAATACATGAGAGAGTTTCTAGCACACTTAGAATTAATTGACAAGAGCAGAGGAGGGAAAGAGAGGCCCATAAAATAAGTAGAAAATTATTTTGTTTCTTCTTTGTCAGTCAAGTTTAGCTCCATGGGAGGTAGAGACCAATTGCTGCTGCCTGAAAAAGTGAGAGCAGAATGCCAGCTTGATTTAACTTAGGAGTCTGAAACTTTTCTGGCCTGAAGGCTGCTGATAGAATAGAACTTCCCATTGCTCACAGTATTACGGGGGAAAAAAAAAATTAAAGCAACAATTTTTATTACTCACCCTGGAGCTAGAGCTTTAAAATGTACTTTCTGCTCCTCAAACCCTCCCTAAACCACTCAGCTTTTAAAAACAAAAACCAATTCATATGTTTGCTACAGTCATTATTGGTCCTTTCTATTTATTCCTGGGTCCTGTTTCTTAAAAACAACTAAGAAGTGTGACAGATACACTTCTAGGTCTCTAGCATTTCTTTAGTTATTTTATTAAGCCTTTATTAATTTCAGTAACATTATTGAGTGTGTGCTCTATGCTGATAAAGATGATTGAAATACTGAGGTTAAGTAGGAAAGTAACCCATTCACAAATAATTACGCCATCGGGTGATGTGGAAGTAGTAGCCATTCATTTTCCCAGGAAGGAAATGTGGTTAGGGCTAAGGAAGACATCATAGATCAGGTGAATTTTGAATGGATTTTGAAAGCTAAAGGCCAGGAAGTGGGAGAGCAGCACTTCAAGCAGGGAGGATGACTTAGGGAATTAAAAGGAGATGAGAATGAGCACCACATTGCCCTGAGTGAGGGGTGGATGGTGGGGGCGTGGGGAGGGGAGATGGTTACGTGGTGGTAGAAGAATGGTCTTGTGAGGCCGGGGCTAGAGGATGCAGGTCCTTGAAGGCCATGTTGATTAGAGTTTATCACAACCTAAATAATATTTGTAAGAGGATTTTTTTTAAGCTAAATTTTTAAGAAGAGAAGTGCTATGATTGCATTTTCTTTAGAAAATATCTCCAGAAATAATGTTTTTAAGGAACTGGCCAGGGAAAAGACAGGAGGCCAGAACAAAAAATAATGTTGTTGCTATAGTCCAAATGAATTAGAATAAGGGTCTAGGCCATGTAGGTTTGAGAGAGATTGAGAAGACAGAGAGTGTAGGATTTAATGGCTAGCTGGATATGGGAAATAAGGTTGGAAATTATTCTGAGATTTTAGAGTTGCTTGACTGGGTGAATGGAGCTATCATTAACAAGGATAGTAAATTAACAAGGATAGTAAATGTAAGAGAAGGGAAAGATTTTGGGAGAAAGAAAGGGAGTAAAAGGAGATAACGGGAATACCCAGAGGAGACCCCCAGGATACAGTCGTGACTGCAGCTGTGTTGTGATATCATACAGTAGACGCCTGCCAGACTTCATGACAGGCCTTCAGTCTAAAGAGACAGCCATTTGATAAGTCATATAGAAAGGAGGAAACAGCCACCTTAGATGTGACTAATAGCCATTACATCATATTTCAGGTGAATTTCTTGAAATTCTAATTTTTATGTAAGGTCCAGTGAAAGAAGTAGGTTGCATACTCAAACAATGAGGAGTTATTATAAGCTACAAAGAGAAAGTAGAATAGGGTGCCACAGACGGGAATGGCTCAAAGGAGCAAAGATAAGTAAATGGCAGGAGAGTAGCTGAGAGGATGATTGCAAAAGATACAGGTATAGGCAGATTTGGAGTACAGAGGAGAAATCTGAGCCTGTTCTTCCAAATCATTGTACTTAGTTAATGG